GTGGTTATAATCATCCGGGTTTAAATCGCACTCAAATTGATTTGATATTGATGCAATATTTACACTGAAGCTTACAGGCGGCTATGGTAAGGGGCGTGACATTTCCCGACCAAACGCCGAGTGCTGCCAATCACAACACACACTGGCCCAGCTAACCAATCACAGCACATTTCGTATTTCAGAAGGCGGGCCTTCATTTGATACAGGAACTATTCGAGTCGTTCATGCCAGACTGGGGAGAGAGGTGTTGTAATAATGTAAAATATGTGAAAAATAATGTGTTTTTCGAACAACCTAGTATGAGAGCCTGTTCTAGTACACCCCCAAAACAAAATCAAGACTTTGTAAAAGAGCATAATAGGACCCCTTTAAAAGACGATATCTCCGTTTGCATTGAACTTTCAGCTTCGTAACTTTTCAGATATTGTTTATGCTCAAACAGCAACATTACACACTAACTAACGTTAAAAAAGTGAAATCGCAATTAACCACCCCTTTAAAACAACGCTGATCACTACGTCAGGGTTCGAATTCGCTCACATTCATTCTTTGCTTTCTAGACCAGGGGCCGGTTGCATAACAGGTTTAGACTAGTCTTAAAAGTTAGTCATCTAATTTTGTTCTTTAAAGGGGTCATATGATGTTGCTAAAAAGAACATTTATTTGGTGTATTTGGTGTAATGAAATGTGTTTATGTGGTTTAAGGTTCAAAAAACACATTATTTTCCACATACTGTACATTATTGTTTCTCCTCTATGCCCCGCCGGTCTGAAAAGCGAGGTGAGAATCAAAGTTACGCCGCCTTTCTTTGCGTGAACATTTGGGCAGTATTATGCAAATCTTCTCACATCGTGACGTAGACATGTGGGGGCGTGTTTAAACAAGGCGTTTTAGGAGGGCGTGGACCAGTCTTAATTTTTATAAAGAATATCTCTTTGGGTTTGAGACTTTAGTCTTTGCAACTTTAGGGATCTTATCTATTCACGAACAGCTTGTAACACTCCAAAAAGAAAGGAAAACTTGAAATCGCATCATATGACCCCTTTAAGACTGGTCAAAATTGTTAAAATTTGGTTACATTAAAACGTAGATTAGTCTAAGCTGAATCCAAAATATAAGACTGATTACCCCTTGGTTAACTGCTAGTTGGTCAAACTAGTTCTTAAGACACTGTCTTAACATAGAGGCTAAGTTTTTGCAACTGGCCCCTGATGCGTCAGAGAAACAAGTGCACAGCCATCCTTAGAATTTTCTCTTTGAACTTCAGTTTTCGCTGTTGAAGAGTAATTAGCCTGTGAAGTGGAATTACTTATTGTAAAACACTGAATTAAGGAAAGTTATCATGTGCATTGTAATGTTAGAAGGTGATGTCATAACATGTCAGTAGACCGGAGTGGTTAATTAATACATTTGTTTGACCTTGTTTTATGCTGTGGATATACAAACCGGAAGACAGAAGACAACGATCGCTGTGCTGAAACGGGGCGGGGCTACAGTGCACACTACTGCCAAGCGCTATTTGAGTGAATGAGTAGCCTAAACTAGTGAGCAATTTCAGATGGAACTGCTCAGCAACTGTTCTGGAACGCCGGTTGACCAATCAAATTCGAGGACCATGAAATGATCGATAATATGAAATGATCTGATATATATATATATACTGTGGCAACCCGCTTTATTTACAATAAATTTATACACTTATTTTTATTAAAATTGTGTAATCAAATGTTCGAATATTTTTGAAATATCTATTTGTACAATAATGTTGTACTGTTAAAATAGAAATATGTGCTCCTCCTGCTGGCACACTTTACATAGCACGCAGATGGGAGCTTCGGTGCATTTACCCCGGTGTCATTTCCAATGATAGGAGGCGGGGGCGGGGCTGAGAATGCTTTGAACACAGATGCGGAGCGGCTCTTCTGCTCTGAGCGGAGCGCCAGTGAGACGAACAGCACCATGACTGCGAACGCATACGACGTGATTGTGATTGGCGGAGGCATCTCAGGTTAGTGTCAGCAAAATAGCGCATAAAATTTAAGATAATCTCATTGCAATTAACGCACTGTTAAAGTAACTTTATATCACTGAGGATTACAGGCTGATGGTAGTCATGCTGAGTTATGATCATGGTTATTGAGGAAAATAAGGCGCGCGACAGACCCGTGCTGAACGACTATTCCATTTCCTAAGAAGCTTAGACACCTTATAACAACACTGTACCATGGCTGCGTTTAAAAATAATAATGTATATTTACGTTTTAAATAGGACTGTGTTAGTTTGCCAAAAGGACAGTGTTAGTTCTGCAGACTTCAAGTGAATTTGTTCGCGGTGTCACCTGAGCTTGCTCTTCCACTTCCGTGACATGATTATTTCATATTCATAACGCCAGAGGCAGAGGCAGTTAAGTGGCATGCAACAGTGTAAGCTGGTAGTTATATATAACATGCCCATTAACTTTTTCTATATACTCAACAACATGATATTTTAGTTTAAAATATACGTATGTGTATAAGAACAAGTGTATATTTGTATAAATCACGTTCACTAGCTCATTTAGAAAAGTACTGCAATATGACAAATCATTTTTTGAAAGAACAAATATTTCACAATTTCTACTGTTAGGCTAGCATCTAGTATACTCTGCATGTATAATAATTATAGAAATATGAATTTTTGTTTATAATAGTTTTAGATGAATTATGTCAAACTAGCTAACATTGGCTGCCCATTTTTCAATGTAAACTACCCATCATTATTACACTTTCTCTGCAATACTTGATTCTGATTGGTCAATCACTGCATTCATCAAATATTTCAGAATAATGACCAGCAATGTTGCATAACTGATAATTTATCCTTGTGGTCTTGTTTTATGTCTCTAATCATTGTAACTGTATATTTTAGCTCAAACAATATTTCATGTCCATTTATTTATTTGAAAAAGATCTATAGAAAGATCTATCTATAGATCTATGTTAGATGCAACATGTTCTCAAGACATGGGCGTTTCACACCTAAAACTATATTTAAGGTTATCTTATGTGGAATGACATTGTATACTCAATTTAAAACTATTTTTTATAATTTATTATTTTATAATCATACATACAGTTTTCATATTTCATAAAATAATATTTTCTTTAAAAAAATGTAGTGCAAGAGCAAGACCATTTAAAATGAACTAGAAAATGCCTAAATAATGTTTAAAAATGAATAATGTGGTTAACCCAGAATATACTGTACATTTGTCTTTATATATTTATATAAATGTTAACGTAAACTGACTTCTAAAAAGAAAATTTTTTATAATTTATTATTTTATAATCATACATACAGTTTTCATATTATTTAATAAAATAATATTTTCTTTAAAAAAATGTAGTGCAAGAGCAAGACCATTTAAAATGAACTAGAAAATGCCTAAATAATGTTTAAAAATGAATAATGTGGTTAACCCAGAATATACTGTACATTTGTCTTTATATATTTATATAAATGTTAACGTAAACTGACTTCTAAAAAGAAAATTCCTTAAACATGCATCAGCTGCACACATATGCTGCAGTCCTTGCATGCACATACTTGCAATGCTCTGGTGCTCTTCATAGGCTTACCCCATACAAAATCAGTGTGAAACATTGCTTTGAAGAATGTGTATGCAACTCAGGGTTAAATAAGATGAAATAAGTGTAGTGTGAAAAGCCTAAACCTGTCAAACTCTAGACTATATCACAAATAATCCCAGTGAGAAAGGTAGTGTGCTTTGACCCTGGTGGAAATTTTGGTGTTATAACCCACACTTCCCTGGGAAGTTTATTTTACAGAGATTGCAGAGAGATTTATGAATATATTGCACTACAATCGGATGCAGTATATTAAAAAATACTATGGGATAAGGATTCTGTTTCAGTCAGTCCTAGAATGCGACATATTTTGTGTAGAGTAGCATAAAAGCGCAGCATAACGTCCTTACAATTATGACCTGACAGGACATTCCATTTACTTTGTGCAAACTGACTTGTTCCCACAGTGAATATGCATTATTATATACAGGCGTGACAATTTAAACCCAGCTCAGAGGGAGTGCAGTCAGTGCACACTGGATGAAATATTGCTTGTGTAAGAACAGCATTCTTGTAAACAGAACTGAGCAAAACTGCATCAAGATGTCCTACCGATAACCTGATGGAAACTTTATTTCTATTCATACAGACCGTATTGATGGTTTCGATTTTATATAATATGCAAGAAGACATCAAGTCAGATGTTTTAGACTATATACTGTAGTTATGTAGCTCACAGTTTATTAACTCTTGAACTTAATAGGCTACTTTATTAATCAAACTCAGACTTTGTTTCAGAAAATAAAGGTGTGTGCTGTGCACTGAACCAGTCTACTCTGCTTGAAAAAAGCTAATGAATGTAATCAGTCACTATTATGTAACAAGGCCACATATGGTGCACCATGGACCCAGTATCACCCAATCCATTGCTGTAGAATCTTTTCAGCATCAGAACTTTGATTCCCTGCCAAGTTTCTAGGAGTCAAGGCTAAACAGACTGCACTTTTGAGTCTGTAAAACATTTGTCATGAATGCATGTGTGCAATATTGCACATCATTGGTAGTGTGACGCTAGTTACACATTCACTCTCTGGTCAAAGGTGCAGTTCTGTTCATGCAATGACATGTAAGTTATGTTTTATGATCTGATTTGTGCAGTAATGCATTAGAAAATGTTGCAGTTTATGTACATTTGATCCAGGACTGTCTGCTTTTGACACATGGATGGATAGATAGATAGATAGATAGATAGATAGATAGACAGATTTTTTTTTCACGAATTGGCTGTCATCGTACACCTATTGAATATGTGGATGTTTTTCACCTGTTGGCCTTTGAAGAAAATCAGAGTTTGTTCTTATTCTAACCAAACCTCATAAAGTGGGTTGAAAAGAAATGCAACATTGCTTTGG